GCGCCCGTGTCTCTGCCTGCACAGGGGATGCTCATGCCGGGACCCCAGCTGCCTGGTTGGCCTTGTTTCTCCTGATGGGATGGGGTGTCACCCCTCTCGGTGACCCCACTCACCCAGGCTCACAGGCCACTTCCTGCCGCACACCCCCAATTCCGGCAACTGGGACCTCCACGTGGCATGATTCCGGGGCACTTTTCGTGTCATGGGGTAATGGTGGCACCTGAGAGTGGGTTTGTGTTTGCCTCCCCATGATGCCCCAATCACCCCCCACCTGGGTCCCGTAATGGCAAGAATCCCATCTTATTCTCCTTGTGCCCCAATACCTACCTGTGCTTGGCACACGGTGGGAGCTCAGCAGGGCTCACCCTGGACCCCTGGCGCCAACATTTCTATTGTGGAACTCCTCTGACTTCTGCCAGGAGCCACCAGCCCCAGGCTGCCTCCTCTGAGAACTTATGGATCTCCCTGAGGACAGAGGGCGGTGGTTGCCTTCACTCTGCGCTTAAGAGCTCCGTCAGAGTCTGGGACAGTGAGCTGTGGAATAGCGTAGCAACATCCTAGGGGCACGTCAAGCCCTAGACTCCCAGTCCTGAGCTCAGCACCCACAAATCCACCACAGTCCCTCCTCACCCCATACATACAGTAGCTAATAAGGCAAAGACACCAAATGGAATAAAAAAATATATATTAAAATAGGAACGTTTCTGAGGCCAAAACCACCCAGAGTAAGTTTAAGATAAAGCTGGAGAGCACGTCCGAGGTTTCCAGTTCTGGCAGACAGAATTGCCACGGGTCAAGAAGGGTTCAACTTTAGACACGAGGAGGCAACCAGCGCACGGTGCCACCCCCGTCTCCTCCTCCCCAGCTGGCCCCGGGTGGTTTCCAAGTCCTCAGCCTCCCACTTCTCCTCCAGAAACTGCTCCCCAACCCACACCTGGCAGGCCAGTAGCAGCCTCCAGGGCAGTATTCCCAAGGTTTCCCACGTCCAGGGGATGTGGAGTGACTGACTCTCAAGGCTGGGAGCTCAACCCCATTTCAAGCACATCTCTACACAGTCCAAGATAAGTGGGTGAACACCTCCCCTTGGATGCCTCCTTTGACTGGGACCTCATCACCACTAATTCATATTAGCCACTGATGACCCAGGACCTCTCTACACTGAGCCAACCTCTGGCTTCCCGCCCTGGACCCCCTCATCTGGGAGCACACAGAATGAGTCGAACCCACATCCACACATACTGCCTTCAGGCTGCTCTCTCATCCCCTGACCAGTGCTGCCCATCCAGCTTGGCACGCTGGGCCTGTCCCCTGCCCTCTTCACGTCCAGCCTAGGACCCAGAGCCACCCTGCAGATGCGATCTGAGCCGCACATGGCTCCGGGGAGTCCGTGCCTCGACGTGATGGGCTATTTCCGTCTGGAGGCCTGGGGACATCGGAGCTGCCACTCCGATGTCCTGACTTGCTCTATATTTACCACCTGGTGCCCCTCACATCACTTTCAGATGAGCGGCTTGGAAACCAGCTCTCCCAGCTGTCCTTACCCAGCTGGGCTTTTCTGGGCCTTAGCCTAAGACTTTGAAATAACCCCTGTTGCCTATTTCTCAAGATATCCGAGTATCTTATAATGAAGACACATGCAGGCCAAACGGAGAAGCTGGCCATGTCTAAAGGAAAGACACCGCCAATCCCTCCAACTCCTGGAAATGAGATGCTCAGTACATTTGAGCAAGCTTTTGCACAGAGCCTCCTAGAAGACTGTGAAAGAAAAGGAAGCATGACAGGTTTCCTCTGGCAGCTAAAATGAGGCCTCGTGGGCCTTGAATCAAGACCCACTTTTTCGTGGCAGGAATTTGGAGAGAAGTCTGTGTCACCTATCTGCTGATGTGAGCACCATTAGGTCACATCATGGGGGAAATCGGTCACAGCGGGGTTCTCCATGGTGGCGCTTCTCCTAATCAGATGAAGGGAGGAGAAGCCATCTGGCGCTCATGCTGGGATGCAGAGGCAGCCCCCACGAGGCTGCATTTCAACAGTTCAGAGAACTGTGTGGTCCAGCCGGCCGGGATGTTCTGGACCCGGAGACGCCTCAGCAAACTGAATGTCTGGAACAGCCCGTGTCACGGGAGAGGGTACGCAGGTGGTTGCTTGAGTTTGCACCCTGTGACGCCAGCAGCAGGTTGGAGCAGAGGGGAATGGGGCAGGGTCAGAGGGCACCACGTGCGTGACTTGGACCAGGAGACGCGGGCGGGTTCTGCGCCCCAGCCGGAGCAGCCTCCCACTGCTGGGCATCTCTGCGGCCAAGCACAAAGCCCACGCCATGGAGGGCGAGCCATAGGGACAGAGAGGTGCCTCGAGGGGCCAGGGAGGGAGGCCCAGGCACCCGTCCCACACTGGGAACTGGCTGCCACTGAGCACACATGCTCCAGGCCAGCCCTGCAGCCCACCAGGCGGAGGCGTCCGGGCCCACGAACACCCCTCAGACCACGTTGGAACATGGATTTGATCCTAGCTCATCAGAGACACCCGTTTCCAACCTTTCTGCCTGGCTTCCACTGCTTTAGTCACAGTTTTCCTTTCTAGTTTGTTTCTCATTTGCTTTTCTGAGTATCATTTCCTACTTATTTGTATTGTTTTTAGTCCTAGTTTACAAGTAATGTAAATGGGAAGCAGGGTGAGGAGCGTCTCCACACTCAGCCCCTGGACAGCCTTCCGTCCCCCTCCTCCCAGGATAAAGCCTCCAGCACCTCCCAGGGTGGGTCCCCATGACCCTGAACTGCCCTTCTAGACACGCCATGACTCCGCTCTGTGAGAGGACATGGGTCCTGCTGGGGCTCGGGCACTTCCCGTCCTTGATCCTCAGCCCCCCAGTCTCTGAGAGGGAACCAGGTTCCACCTGGTGTCCACCTGTGAGCTCAGGGACATGTGTCAGTCCTCATGAAAACCTCCAGCCAGCGAGCTGCAGGCGGCCCCTGTGGCTAGAACTGCCCTCACACTGAACCATCTCCCGGCCTCATCCATGCATAGGCGCACCTGCTGGGTGCTGAGCAGCACAAGGCAGAAAGAGCATGCATTTCGGACTTGGATTCTCAAAGCAGCATGTCCCCTTCGGCCGCCTCCCCTTGTGCTCTCAGGCAATACCACTGTCTGAACCCCACTCCCCATCTGTGGTTGGAGGTGCCATCTGTTCCCACTTGCAGCAGAATGAGATCCACCTGTGAACATCCTGTCACGAGCCCTCTCAGGCTACATGCAGGAGGGGACACCCGTCATCACAACTGGATATCTAAAACAGGCTGCTTCCCATCCCTGCTGAGGGTGTCCTCCTGGGGTGGCCAATGATGCCCCAGGGGAAAGAGCTCAGCTGGATGCACAGGAAAACGGAGGACACTTCCCCACTCTTCCTGACCAGCGATGGCCGCGACCTCCTAGGGGCTGTTCTTGCCCAGGCCTCTGAGCTCCGGCAGTGGGTGGGTGAGGGGCACCATGTCCCTGGGAGGAGCTGTGAGGATGTAGGGAAGGGAGAAGGTCACAAAATCCAGCCCTGAAATATAAAGGCCATAGGACTATCAGAATGAACCTATGGCTGGTCAGAAGAGAAGGGAAAGATTCAAGAGAGGCCTTGGCCTCCATGTCGGGTAGAAGAGAGGACAGAGTGGCCAGAAGTGGGGGGCGTGGAACCCAGCATCATCAAGTCCCCGTGAGGCAAGCAGAGGCCCATTTCACATGGCCGGGGCCAACACCTTGACCCACCTTCGGACCTTCAGACCTCTTACCGCTCTCTCTTCTTCCTTCGGAGAAGGGGAGTGCTCCCACCAGTCTCACTTGGTCACCTCTCTGCCCATCTTCAGAGGGTCCCATCACTCCTCTGGTAAGACCCACGGCTGTGCTGTCCCCTGTGGCTCACCCCACCCCACCCCTCCTGCCAGCCCCGACGTTATTGGTGCCGCTCCAATCTCCTACATGACTCCCTGCCCTCTGCAGCCCCTTCCTCTGGACCCTCACCCACCCCACCAGAGCCTCTTGGAGTGGTCCTCCGAGCTTACACCAGATCCTTTCCCCCTCAACCCTGCTCCTCTCCTGTGTCCCTGAGATGATGGCAAAGCTCTCCACCTGTCTCAGAAATCATGGTGCACAGGCAGGGCCCATGTCTAGCCCTCCCTCCCCATGATGCTTGTCAGTGGCCACCACAACCAAGAGCCACAGTGGGCATCAACATTAGGCACGACAGTTCCCTCAGTCCAGGGGGCTGAGCGTCCCAGCGCCAGAGTGCTAGGGGGCTTAGGTTTCCCCAGAGGCTCTGCGGCTTGCAGGGACCATCTTCCCTCTGCGACTATGCCCTAATCTCCTCCTCTTACAAGGACACCAGGCAGGTTGAATCAGGACCCACGCCAAAGACCCCGTTGTGCCTTAATGACCTCATTATTAAGGTCAGCAAAGACGGTCACATTCTGAGGTACTGGGGGTTATGGCTTCAACATCCAAACGAAGGGGGGACACAGTGTAGCCCAGATCATACCCTCTAAATAGACACCTCCAGCGCCCGTCCTCTCCCTCCTCCCTCTGCAGAACGGCAATCCTCCAAGCACTGCCCAACGGTGGGAGCACCGCTCTGTGGACTTCCCAGCCTCCAGGCTCCCCTGTCCCTAATTCACCGGTCAAGCTGCCCCCAGCCAGTCTGCTGTTTAAATACCTTTGCTACTACACTTGCAGGAAGCAAACACTTACAGCTCTTCCCCATCTGCCCCAGCTGTCTTTCCCCTCACCCTGCCCACCGGGCACCCTAAATGGACACGTGACCAGACTTTGGGGCTGGGGCAGGGGCAGCCCCGGCCTTCCCACTGGGCCCAAGGCTCCCCTCGTCACTTACTTCTTTCCTGGAAAAACCAATCACCTCCCTTCCTTTAAGACCCCACCAAATGCCCCTCCGCCCGAGGCCTCCTGCCCTTCCCAGGGCCGATGGTCCCCCCATGCTCCGTGCGCCCAAGACACTTTACACAGACCTCATCCCCCATGGAGCCTGAGCGAGGCACTTTGCAGGGTCCTCCCCCAGCAGCTTGGCCAACAGAGGCCAGGCCCTGTTCATCTTAGTGCCGGCCCACGGCAGACACCTCAGGCCCTGGGTCAGCGAATGAAGGACGGATTCAGTGAGCAAACCTGCCGCCTGGGGTCCCTCCTGCTAAAGAATAAACAGAGGCTTACACAGAGCTTATTTTGCACTAACTTACAGGGGCCGGAAAATAAATAACTTGCTCAGAAGTCTAAGAAATCCAATCTCAAAGCCCTTCGCGGGGGAGAGAACACGTGCATGTGACCGACCGCGCACTGGAATTTCAGGAGCCCTGGGTTTCACAGCACCAGCGGCCCGTGGGAGCCCGAAGCCCCGCAGCCTTCTGCAGGGACGGCGCTACCATTCGTCTCTCTCCGCCTGCCTCGGGATCGGCTTCGGCTGGACGTCTCACTCCGCGTTTACTTTGCAAGCAAACGTGATTAAACGTGAAGGCCTCCAGCAGCAACAGTGAATCATCGGTCTGCGAGACGAGCGAGCAGAAAAGACAGCGAGGAACACCGCTGGCCCCGCAAGGCCCCGGGTTGGCCCTTCCGTCCGCTGCGAGTCTGGGGTTAGAGCTGGAACGCGGGGATATTCTGGGTCTGTCTCAGAAGCAGGAAAGCCTCCAAGAGGGGGAATGGTTTCTGAATAATAAAGAGTCTGCTGGTTGGCGTGGAATCTGTTCCTTGGTTTACAGGAATGAATGCTTGGGGCTGAGTCTCTCGTCTTCTCCTGCAGAAAGTGGGACAGAACCCAAAGCCTTCAACCTCGCAGGCTTCTCCCCTCTGCCTGCCAAATCCCCATCAGTATTCCCTCCACGGGTTTCACCTTTTCTCTGGGTGCAGTGCAACCTTGCACAAAGCCCGTGCTCCAAAGGCGGCCCCAAGACTCTGAAAAAGAGCAGGTGGAGGGGCCGGCCTCTCTTGGGGCCCAGTTCCCATTTCTGGCACAGGTCAGGCCCAGCCCCTGTCCCAGATTCCCACGGGGATTTACAGGCCCAGCTCAGGGACAACGAGGACCCAGGGGCACCAGCACTGCGCCTTCTGTCATAAGAAAGATTCTTTTCATGTATTCCTTCATTAAAAAAATACTTGAGGACCTACTTGGCACGAGGTGCTGTATCCACAGTCTGAGGCACCAAGCGTACCCCAGTGGACAAGTCAGGCCAAACCCTGAGCTTTCTCCAGCCTAGCCACCTCCTTCCCCTTCTGACACCCACCCCAGCCCTGGACTGCAGGTCTCCATGTGATCAGGGACCCTCTGTCCACAGCTTCTTTCCTCCACCTCCCCCACTAGCTCAGTTTCTCCAAACACAAAGGGCTTCCAATAATGCATCCCCAAACTCACCGTCTCCTGCCTGCCAGCAAGTTGATGACATACCACCACCCCACCCGAACCCACTGCCGGGGAAATCAGCCATGTCCTACTCCCTGTGATCTGTGACCATCCCTCGAGATGGAGGGATTCTCCTGGATTGTCTGGGTGGGCCTTCAATCTCCAACCAAGATGGGGAGGGGATCAGGTCATGAGGGGGAAGCCCCTGGGAGTGGGATCAGTGCCCTGGTGGGAGCACCGTGGGCCCACAAGCTAGACCAGAATTGTCGCAAATAGATGTGTGATGATCACAGGACTGCCGGTCTTACTTATAGCCCCTGGAAGACCTCTGGTGATCTCGCAGGGAGAGAGGAGACACACAGACACCAGGGGGTTGGCGGGGGGCTGCCGTGCGACAAGGGAGGCTGGCATCTCCAAGCTGATGAGCTCCAAGGGTGGCCGGCAGCCCCCAGAAGCTGAAGGACGCATGCAGGCCTTTGCCCTGCAGGTTTCAGGGACCATGGGCCCCGCGACACCTGGGTCCAGACTTCTGGCCTCCAGACTGTAGACAACATGTTTTCTTGTGTGAAGGTGCCCAGCCCATGCCTCACTGTTGCTGCAGCCCTTGGAGACCAACCTGCGGTCCTTCCTTCCCCCTTCCTTCCCTCCTCAGGTGGTGAAGGCGGGGACCCGGGCTACACAAGTCCTCGGATCATGGGCTTGGCACTCACATACCCTCAGGAGCCAGGAGCAGCCCCAGAGCCAGCCACGCGATCTGTGGAGCCCAGCACAAAACCAGCTCACGGGTTCACTTGTCCAAAAGTGTTCTCTCTGCCTCTTCCCTCTCTCTCGACCTATCCTGGTGGGCTTTACTTGCTATTTATGTCCCTCTCACTTGGGCACAGGAATACGTGTCGGGGAACTGCAGGCTTGCACGGGCATCGGGCCCAGCTGCACGACCACCCAGGCCTCGGCAGGGGGTGCAGCACCGTGGAGGTGCCTGAGCCAGATGGGTGGGAATTGGGGGCTCAGGGAGGTGCAAGGGGCACATGCTCCATCGTCCCATCAGACTGTGCTGACAAAACACAGATCCAGGGGTAAAATAGGATTTCCAGAGGGCAAAGGCAGAATGGGCAGGCCCTTCCAAGCATACGCCCTGTGACCTGTGATGGGGTGGGTGCCATCCCTGATCACACCAACCCAAGACCACTCAGAAGGACAGGAACATCTAAGGAACCTGTTATGAGCCCAGCTCGGCAACTTAAAACCCGTATCTCCCATTTTTGCCAGGTCCTGGGGTAACTATTCCTTTTCCCAGATGAGCACGGTGAGTCTCCCAGCAGAGAAGTTACGGCAAGCCCTTCCCAGATGCTGGCATTGTCTTTCCTTAAATGCTCGGTTCCCGTGACAGCCAAGCCACCAGCCAGCCCGCACAGTGATGGAGGAGAAAGTGACTTATTTCCAGAGAAGGTTTGGGGCAATTTACACCAAGAAAGATGCAATAAATCCAAAAACCACTGAAGCATAAAATAAAAGACAGTCAAGGAATAAGGTGGAGAGGCAAATATTCTCACCAGAAAACCTCGGCAGAGAGGGAACACCCCGGTGGCTACAGAGAGCTCGGCTCCAGGGTGCTCGGCTCCCCTGCACCTCCAGGACATGAGGATCCCCCAGCCCTCATTTTCTGGGAAATGCCCATCTGCCAAGACAGAGAACGTTTCTCCTACGGCAGAGCCGCAGAGAGAATGTGCCGCCTGCATGTCCATGGCATGGGCACAGAACAGCGGGATGGATTTCTAGAACTGGGGGACAGCAGTTTTCCAGAACCATGGAGAAGCTCCCAGTATGGCCATTTCATAAAATCAAGCCCTTGGGGGGCCCTTTGGGAGGACTCGTGAGACTGCCCTGCACATTCTCTGTCAGTGGAGAGGAGATGGAGACGCCAGGAGCGATCATGGGCTGAGTGATGACCCCGTGGACAGGGAGTGCCCCTTCTCCCCATTGCTCCCACATAGACCCATGCACACAATACCTCCAGACCCCAAAAATCTATTTTCAGCACACCAAGTGGTTTTAAAATCCTCCCAATAATATTCCCTTCTTTGAAAAGATGGTGGGTTTTGTTGCTGTTGCAATAAGGGCGTGCTGCTGACATAATTCCTTTTTTTTTTGGCCAGGTAAAATGCGGCATGAGATGTTCATTTGGTGGCCTTGGCAAATGCCAACCTTGGAGAGGCTCCTAGAGAAGAAAACCACCCCAGCAGATGGTGTGAAAGACTCATATATTGCAGGCAAGCGTGAAGGGACAGCTGCAGCGGGTTGGGTCAGGAGAGCTCGTGGCCTCCCTCCAGGCTTGAAGCACTCTGGGTGGCTGGAGCAAGAGACAGGCAGGCCCGGCGGGGACTGCACATACAGCCGGATCCCCGGCACGACCCCTCCCCGTGCCCACGGACCAGCGGGGCACCCACACGCAAGCCCAGCCTCCTCGTCTGTAGATCAGACTGGAATGGTTAGAAGGCTCTGAGAATAAGCATCAAGTACCCCACCCAGAGATGGAAACACATTCTCTTGGCTATGTCTTCCCACCCTGCCCAGTTCAGTTTGCCCACCACCATACACCCACCAGCATGCACCCCGCAAGGCAGACAGAGCTCTGGATACCCTTTCAAGGAGGCATCGAGGCAACAATAAGCTCTTTGCAGGTGCATCTCAGCCCAGGGTCTCCTGACTCCTTCACAGGACTGTCCCTGGTCCCTGCAGGGAGAAACTGCTGATCTCCTTGCTCTTAGTAATCAGCTCAGAAGACAAGTAGGGAACCTTGACCAACTAGAAAACATGACTGTGGGTCTTGCTGCTTTTCCTTGAATCTCACTGTGCCATGAGCACGGGCAGAGATGGTGAAGGGCCTCCCTTTATGGGCAAGGGCTGGGCAGATCCACTTCTGAGCAAGGCACATGTGGACACACAGCCCAGGTTCCGTGTCCTGTGGCCCTCCTATGAGGACAGCAGTGCCAAGAAGAGGCTGCCCCTTTGGAGAGCTGGGACAGAGTTCCATCAGGCAAAACAAGCTCTTTCTTGCTCTACAACCCAGGGGAAGGGAGAGTTAGAAGGCCAGGGCACAGTTGTTCGGAAGTGTGGAATAGGGAGCTTCTGCGGGTTCCAGAACCCCAGGCTTCTGATCCAGGTATGGGGAGCAGAGGGCAGAGACCAGGAGGGGCGAGCAGAAGGCAGCACCCCATTTGAATCATGCTGAATAAGGCCTGCCGGAGGTCAAGAAGGAGCCCTGGGGTGAACGGCACTGAGGATTCGGGCTACCCAAGGACTTCCTATGGGAGCCACGTGTGGACACAGGACTAAACCTCCCTGAGGGGAAGGGGAGGCACGGAGGCAACAATTGGGTTTTGGTTTTTGTTTTTGTTTCAATCTATGAAACTGTTCCATGAGCCTGGGAGCCTCTGGGTATGCTTCGAGAGATCTGGACATTTCCAGGACCCACAAAACCTTATTTGCAGACTTGCCCCATGCCGGTCTAGGTCCCGTGCAGACAGGTGGCAGGTGAGCCATCCCTGAGCTCCTGTGCACAAGGCCACTCACAGCAGAAACCTGTTGGGAGCCCCCGAACTGTCCTTCCAAAAGATAAAAAAGAAAACTGGAACTTGAGTAAAGAAAGACCATT